ACAGTGGATAAGAGAGTGGACTCGGGAATTCCTTTTTATTTGGCCACGTATGGAAGAGGTGTTGGTAAGTGTGGGGTTTGGTATTATCCGTGATACTTTTTGACATCTCCATAGTTGATATCCTCTTGATATTTCCCTTTACTGTGTTATGATTAATTCTGTTTTTTCCTAAAGCTACAAAAGATGATCATCTGATAAACAAATCGTGATTCTATTCTAAGCATATTTTTTTCTTTCCCTTTCTTTTACCAGACTATATCATCGTTTTCTCTATTTTTCATAGAGAATGGGATGTGAGATATTCTTTTTATTATCCATTTAGAAATAATACTTTTGGTACTTCAGCTCCAAAGACTCCCATACTTAAAAGAAATGCATAGAAGACTTAAATGTGCAAGACTTCTATCTTTAAACAACCACAGAAAAGCTACTCTGTGCCCGGCACTGTGCTTGGCCTTCTGTAGTATGACATTTGACACTCACAGCAACCTTGGAAAGTAGGTGTCATCTCAATTTTATAGGAAAACTGAAGCTTAGGTAGATTAAGAGACTCTCCCAGGGTCGGGCAGTGGAAGATCTGGGATCTGAGCCCACTGTCATCTCTCTCCTTCACAATGTTCCATTACATCTACTCTGGCTTGATGTGATAATTTGGATCCATGAAGACCACTAAAAGTTAATCTATCTCTCTATTTCTACAGCTGTATCTATCTATCTATCTATCTATCTATCTATCTATCTATCTATCTATCTATTTGTTCATTTTTATGGTATTAGCAAAGAGAAGAGAGAAAACATGACTTTACAAATTGGTCAAGGTCATTTAGTGCCCCATCCCCAGATTCTTCCCAGTTCAACTCCAACCTCACTTCCTCCTGAAGCTTTCTTAACTCTCTGCCCTCCCTGTCCTGAACACTTCTAGTTGTGACCACACAGAACACCACCCATCTGTGTTCTCCAGTGGTTTTGCTACATAAGCTCTTGCTCCCAGACAAAACTCTTTCTCCACTGCATCTCCCTTTCTGCCTAGGGAAGTAGATGCTGTATTTGGGGCACCTGGCTGATTGTTTGCCTGGGTAACTAGAGTGTAAACAGGAAGAAATGAGCTAAAACCATGGTCTGACAGGCTAGGTAACTATAAATTGCTCTGCAAGCAGGAGAGTTAAGAAGGGAAGAGGCAGAGGCTAGAGTCACAAGGGCAACCTTGCAAAGATGCTTGGGGTCTACTCAAGCAGCAGCCTGCAGTGGTGCATAGATGAGAGTCTGAAGGTCCTGAGGCTTTGCTATTGTTTTTGTGAGATAATTTATTATTATTATTTTTTGCCATTTAACACAGACTTAGCCTTGTCACTAAATAATTTGAGATCAATGTATTTCTTCTTCATATTTTTTAAATTCTTTGTTTCTATTCAATGTATTGTATTAAGAAAAAAATGGCATGAGGTTGCCACTAGCGCCCGCAAACCAATCAAACCCTGCAATCTATGCTAACATTACCTGGGCAACAGAGTGTTATCGTGCAGAAAATAAATAACCTTTGTTGTTAACAAAATTCCTACCCCACATGATCCCGTTTCTACTCATTGTTCTCTTCAAAGAGGTATCATATTGGAGAAGAAGACCGCCACGCTGGCATCATGAAGTTCTAGGCCTGCTGCTCTTTCTGATACACTGTATTCTCTCAGGTCTTGTCTCTGGAGCAATGGACGTATTGGTCCAGGGTGACCCTCAGAGTGATGGAACTCATTAAAAGGGAATCAAGGAGTGGGGGATAAAAAGTTTCCTACTAATTATTTTTCAACCTTTTGGTTGTGATAAGAAGAAAGGCTCAATTTAGTCTTAGTAAATCCTTAACATTTCTCTGCCATTTGCCAAACTATCTTTTAAAAAAGCTATTTCTAGAAGAATTTATTTTTCTATTATATATGTATATTATATAGATGCATATACGTATATGTATATGTACAAATATAAAACAGTTGTATTCAGGTATAGTTGATGTACACATTTAGACATGTGATTTAATAAATATTGACTTATGAATACACTTGTGAAGCCATCACCACAATCAAGAAATCAACATATTCATGACCCTGGAAAGCTTCCTCATGCCCCTTTATAATAAGTGTCCAGCTCATTGAATTTTCAGATGCTGGATGAACCTCTGCAACCAGCATGCCAATCAGGAAACCGAACTGAAAAACCCTCCTTCCTCCTCCACCTTAGGATTCTGCAGCCTTTTTATTTATTTATTTTTTGAGATGGAGTTTTGCTCTTATTACCCAGGCTGGAGTACAATGGTGCGATCTCGGCTCACTGCAACCTCCGCCTTCTGGGTTCAAGCAATTCTCCTGCCTCAGCCTCCCAAGTAGCTGGGACTACAGGCACGCGCCACCATGCCTAGCTAATTTTTGTATTTTTAGTAGAGATGGGGTTTCACCATGTTGACCAGGGTGGTCTCTATCTCTTGACCTTGTGATCCACCCGCCTCGGCCTCCCAAAGTGCTGGGATTATAGGCGTGAGCCACCGCGCCCGGCCTCTGCAGCCTTCTAACACTGGTAGTTCAGGTCCGCTAAGTGCTGCCCCAACTGCGGTGTTAAGTTGTTTGAGTTCATATCAGGCTTCATTTACCCCTGGGCAAACCTTTTATCATCTTTATGACTTGGTTACCTTATGTGTAAAATGAGTATGATAATGTTGTCTACCTCAGAGGGTTGTTATAGGAATTAAACAAGATAATCCTTGTGCTTAGAACTGACTTAATTTAGGGACTAGGAATGTTAAGTATACAGCTTTTAAAAGATGTACATGTGAAAGTAAGTCTCCATTAATTGTTATTATTAGAGAGGAAAGCTCATCCCTCTTCCTTTCTGCTGATCTCAGGCAAGGCGAGAGAAGGGACTACATCAGTAGGGATTCAGGAGGAGATTGGCATACAGTAGTACTTAATAAATGTTTATTTGGTTATCTGGACTTAAAAACTTGGTATTTATGAAGAGACATGTAAAGTTTATTTATCTTTCACTCGTGGCTCCCGATTTTGGTTAAAAGGCTACCAGTTGCCCACAAGAAGCAAATGGGCCTGTTCTGGTTTCTAGGAATGCAATTCTGGTTAGCCTGACAAACTATCTGAGCACTAGAAGGTCTCCCAATAACCACCTTTACTAGAAGGTGGAAAATGGAGACTCAGCACTATGATGCTATCTTTAATTTTAGGAGGGTGGAAATGAATCAACACTGAGGTGCTGCTAACATTTGTGTTCTTGATCTAGATGCTGGTTACATGGGGTGTTCATTTGTAAAAATTCATCAAACTCTATACTTACATACAAAATATAGCATAATTTACACATATTACATGCACTTCTATGTTTATCCCAGCATTATGCACAATGGCAAAGTTATAGCATCGACCTAAGTGTCCAACAACAGATGAATGGGTAAACAAATGTGGTGTACATACACAATTGAATACTATTCAGCCATTGAAAAGGGTGAGCTTGTGTCATTTCCAACAACATGGATGGCACTGGAGCATTGAATTAAGTGAAATAAGCCAGACACAGAGAGACAAATATTGCACATATTCACTCATATGTAGGAGCTCAATAGATTGATCTCAGGGAGGTAGAGAGATACCAGAGGTGTGTGTGTGTGTGTGTGTGTGTGTGTGTGTGTGTGTGTGTGTGTGTGTGTGTGTGTGTGTTGGGGAGAGTAGAATAAAGAGAGATTGGTTAATGGGTACAGACATATGGTTAAATAGTAATCAATTCTAACGTTCAATAGCAGAGTAGGGTGTCTATACTTAACGACCATGTGTTATACCTTTCAAAACAGAAGTGAGGACTTAAAACATTCTCAACACATAGAAATGATAAATGCTGGAGGTAATGAATAGCCTAAATTCCCAGAACCGATCATTACAGTGTATGCATGTAACAAAATATCACATGCATCCTACTAATATGTATGAATAGTGTGTATCAATTAAAAAAACAATGAACAAATCTAAAGTGTATGCTTCAATGCTTTTGTGCCTATGTTTGCAACCACGTAAACATCACCTAGATAAGAGTTACCTAGGTGGTAGTTTTCCATTGCAGGTGAAAGTTCCCTTGTGTTTTCTTTCCCCAGATGTAAGCACACTCTGACTTCTATCACCACAGTTAGTTTTTCCTGTTCTTGAACTTCATATAAACGGAAATCACACAGTATGCACACACTCTTTTGTGACTGGCAATTTTCTGTCAGCATAATATTTCTGAGATGAATCCATTTTGTTATGTGTTGCCATAGTTCATTCCTTTGTATTACTGACTAGTGTTCCATTATATGAATATATACCATGATCTATCCATTCTATTTTGATGGACATTTTGGTTGTACCTTTAGGGTATTAAGAATAAAGCTGCAATGAACATTTATGTTAGAGTCTTTTTGCATTTATTATGTTTTCAAATACCTAGGAATGGAATGTTGGGTATGTTTGTCTTTATTAGAAATGACCTAATAGTTTTGCAGACTGGTCACAACATATTCCAACAAGAGTATTATGAGTTCCAGTAATTCCATGTCATCACCAACACTTGGTATTTTCAATCTTTTGAAAATTATATATTTTTATACAATTCTTTATGTGTACATATCACTTTAATAAAAGGTTGAAAATAAATCAACAATTTAAAAGGTGATGGTTGTGTCTAATGGTGAAACTCTGAACATTTAAATAAATTATAAATTATCTGGATGTTTCGTTGACATCTGCCAGGAATTCAATAACTAAATGCTGTCCTATTTAATTGATGTATTTGTATTACATATTATGTAGAAATATTAAGTGGTTAACCTTAGGTTTGGTTAGGGAAAACTGTTTCTGAAAAATAGTCCCAAAGCTTCCTTGAGAAAACTTTTTTTCTTCCATTTCCCTTTTTGTTTTGTAGAACTTATGATCCAGAATATTTTGATCAGAGCTCACTGCTTTTCTTCTTTCCTATTTCAGAGCATAAATGCCCAGTGGATGAGCGGGAGCAACTGGAAGAAACCTTGCCCCTGATTTTGGGTCTCATCTTGGGACTCGTCATTGTGGTAACACTTGCAATTTACCACGTCCACCACAAAATGACTGCCAACCAGGTGCAGATCCCTCGGGACAGATCCCAGTATAAGCACATGGGGTAGGGGCCATTAGGCAGGCACCCCCCATTCCTGCTCCCCCAACTGGATCAGGTAGAACAACAAAAGCACTTTTCCACCTCATACACGGAATACACCAACATAGCTGCAATCAAACAGGCCTGGGTATCCGAGGCTTGCTTGGCTTGTGTCCATGCTTAAACACAGGGATTGGGGAGACTCTTGGATTTGTAGGGTGAAATGGCAGTTATTCTCTCCATGCTGGGGAGGAAGGAGGGAGGGGCTCAGACAGCGTTCATGCTTATGGTGGCCATGTTGCTCTCCAAAGAGCAACAGATGCCTCTTGAAGCTGTATCTGGCCCCAAAATTTAGGAATTGAAAATACACATTTTTGAGGAGGAAACACTTTTAAATTCAGAATAACAGGGGGTGCTTTGCTCCCTTGGACACAGCTGGCTTATCCTATACAGTTGTCAATGCACACAAAATACAACCTCATGCTCCCTGCAGCAAGACCCCTGAAAGTGATCCATGCTTCTGGCTGGCATTCTGCATGTTTAGTGATTGTCTTGGGAATGTTTCACTGCTACCTGCATCCAGTGACTTTTCAGCACAAGAACACGACTAATGTAACTATGCAGAGTTATTTGGACTTCTCAATGTGCCAGGTCCACATCGGGGGACCTGAAGAATGAATCTGTGTGACTTTGTCTTTTGAAATGAATTAAAACACACTGTTCTCTGGCCTTTGGCTGCTTTCTTGAAACAAGAAAACAAAGCTAAAATGGTTTTTTTGGCATTTAGAGGAGAAAGAGGAAAAGATGAACATGGATTTTGCATGTTTGCAAGAGGAAAAGTAGAGAGGGCAGGGAATCAATGAGGGGGATGTTGGTTTTTCTAGGTGAAAAAACATGGATTTATTATGGTATCTCTTGACTAGTTGGTCTAATATTGCTTCTGGCGGTTCTTGGTCTGGAGTTTGGCATTTCACTTTGGATTAAAAAGGTGGACTGGACACAGTAGTCCAAATTGAGCTCTATTTGAAGAAAGATTCCTAGAGAAATCCACATAGTTTGAATTTCATTCACTTTCTAAATAAACTCTTTTTCCCAGGATATTTGAGTGGGAGTAGGCAATATCTTTTCTCTGGTTTTAGAGTGGGAATTTCTCCCTCCACAAATACAATCTCCACCATATGAGAGGCAGCTCATGAATTCCTCTCCCTAAGTCTCCAAACTGCTCATAGTAGGGCATCTTCAGAAGTTCATTATCCCAGCAATCTCACTAAGTATCATCCAGTTGCTGTTCTATTACCCATTTGTTTGCTGTTCTATTAACCACAATCTTTTAATTTTCATGATGTCTCTTCAGTGTCTGCCTGTTACCAGTGAGGGAAAATCTCCAATTCCTCATAAAAATCGCATGTTGCACACACACAAAAAAAGATACCTTTGGTGCCAATGAAACTCTAAAAGACGGTTAACTCCATGCTTATACTCATCTGTGATCTTCTCACCACCACTCTCCAAACTTGACAAACCCTTTCCTTTTTAGCATCCCATGTAATTTTTTAAAAACTTTTTATTTCTTATTTGGACCCATCTGAATATTTAGGGGAGAAACGGACAGTCAGATTTATCTAGGCCTTCACAAAAAGTTACCATTCCCTTCTACAACCTTTTTGAAAAAGAAATCTTAAAACGTTCTGAGTCATATGTCTGAAAATTCCCTTGTGTGTGTGGTTTTTAAACTTGCTTTCAAAAAACATAAGGCTTATTATTAGTTTTGGAATTGTCATGTAGTTACATAATTGTTATGTAAATATACATAAGACCTACTGTTGTTTTGAGCACCTATTGAGTACAGGCTCAGTAGCGCCTGTAAAGTAATAAAGTTGACCTTAGTTCCTACAGGGAAGGACTGACAAGAGAACAAATGACACACAACAAACATGTCATTCTCAAAATGTCACAGTGCCCTGGCTCTTTATAAAGTTGACTCGTGACCACATCCCTCTGTCTAAGCTACTTCAATCTTTCTGGAATCCAAATATCAGTGATTTTTCTACCAGTTATGTGCAGGATGCATAAAAAGCCATTATTAAAATTACTGTTACGATTATCATTATTGTTTACCATGCCATTTTTACCTAATTTTAAAATTACGTCTCAAACTCAGCCTGGTTGCCTTTGAACCTCACTTTATTTCTCTCAGCCCTGTCTTCATCTTTATTATCAACTAAACACAATAAAGGGGAGCCTCATGACGCAGACCAGGAGCAGTAGTCTCAGGACGCATCGGTGCCTGGCATTCTCCCAGCTCAGAGACTGACTCCACCTCGGGTCCCAGCTCTGGACCCTCTCCATGCCCATTGTCATTGCCATTGTCCTACATTTTGCAGCTGCTCCTGGGCCAGGAATAGGATGAGGCTATGGCTCATTTATCTGCATTGCTTCTCAAGCTTCAGAGACGGGAAGAAAACAAACAGATAAACCACAGACGCTCAATTACCCATTGAACTGTCATTTTTCTTTTTTACTGGGATTTTAAACACAAATGCCTGTGGGCACAAGAGGATGCTGGGCCTGGTTGCTGGGTCTGTCTGCCTTGAAAAGCCAGGCCAGATGAACCGTATGTGAATTTCTCTTGAGGGAGGGTGACTTTGATTAAATTCAGAGCATGGTTCTTTGCAGGATTCCCTCAGTCCCAGGAAACAGTTCCCAGTGAAATAGCCTCAGAGGGGCCAGGGACACTCGCTTATGATCTGGAGCCTGAGAACACCCTCCAAACTATCATCTCTCTCTCTTTTTTTTTTTTTTTTTGCCAATTGTCCGATCTTTCCCTTAGCAAAGACTTGGCAAAGCCACGTGGGTGTGGGAAACATCTGAGAAACATGAATGGAGAAAGGGGAGGAAAGATAGTAGGAGTGACCTGCAGAGTCTGGGTGGATCAGCCAACTGCTTGTGTAGGGATGAGTTTTACCAGGCAGGTGGTTCAAACCGGCATTGAGCTCAAACACTTCTCCGGAACAAACACCAAGCCACCTGAGCTGGATATAGCTTCAAATCATTGTGTCTCAAAGTGCATTCAAAGGCATCCCGTATTAGAGGCCTCCTAGGAGACCTTTGAAAGATGTTAGTTCTAGGGCATTATCCCAGACTTTGAGAATCTCTGTGGTGATACCCTAGAACCTGCAGTTTTACTCTGCTCCCCAGGTGATGTTGATGAATAACTATGAAGACTTCTGGTTAAAAAGCCTTTACTATCAGAGTATGTGCAACATTATCTAAATTATTGAGCTTCTCTGGGTTCATGTTTTTTCATCTGAAAATGAAGCTTGCTCCTCCATCCTTGTAAAGTTATTTGAAGATTCATGAAGCACCTGGAAGTCTCCAGCACAATGCCTGTCACACTGGAGAGGCTCTACAAAAATTATCATTTGTGGCGTTTTTCTAGCACAGTTCTTAACATGTATGTTCCAATTTTACCTGCCAAACAAGAGGTCATGAAAGATTTGAATGAACTAATACAAAAGCTTTAAATCTGACTTCCACAGTTTTCTATGTCAGCTTATTTTGGATTCAGACCATTTTTATGCAGGAATTTCCCTCCGCTCCAGATCAGTAAACCACTCAGGGGTTATCAGTTTTGGGATGAGGGGATCTGTCAGAATTTATTGACTTGGATGGGAACAAATTACACCTCCAGTTTTTGCTAACCTCAAATGAAAGGTAGAATCTCCTTCAGTGGTGAACATGGGCATTAAACCCCTGCAGTAGAAGCAGACCAGTGAATTTGCCATCAATAGAAATAGCCACCTTACACTTGTCAGCTATATCACAGAACAATCATTTATACTCACTACTTAGAAATTGTGGTAGTTATTTGACCCATCAAAAGATCTTGTTACTTAATGCCTTATAGCCACATTTTAAAATTTTGATAATTATATGTTAATCAGTTTTTATTTGTAAGCCTATGTATTTTACTTTATGCATTTAAAAAACTTTTCTGAGGAGTTTATAAGCTCAGACATCCAAGCGGGTCCAGGGTCAATGGTACTTCAGCTGTCATTTAAAGTGACAGAACCTGTCAGGTTGTCTGCTGGGAAAGAGTTTACAAAGGCACACATGACAGATGAGATCATAAGTGATCTTAGAACTGATCTTGTGCTTTCTAGACCCTGCTCTGGGTACTGGGACACAGCAGTGAACAAAATACATAAGGACTCCTGCCCTCATGGAACTGAAATAATATGGTATGTGTGTGTGTATATGCCCACATGTGCATGTGTGTATAACTGTCTATTTAGGTAGTTTGAACATCCTAAATCTAAAAATCTAAAATCCAAAATGCTTCCAAATTCAAAACTTTTTCAATGGTTCTTTGCAGGATTCCCTCAGTCCCTGGAAACAGTTCCCGAGCATCATGAGCATCATGTCAGATGCTCAAATAAAATGCTCATTGGAGCATTTTGGATGTCGGGTTTTCAGATTTGGGATGCTCAGTTGGTAAGTATAATGCAAATATTCCAAAATCTGAAAAAAAATCCCAAATTCAAAACATTTCTGGTGCCAAGTACTTCAGGTAACGGATACTCAACCTATATGATGATTAATGTACTGTCATTACCTAACTCAACTCTTTAGGACTTTGGTTAACCTAGCTAAGGTGAATCATATAAGATCTTTAAGTCTTTTCTAGCTTTATGTTTTTAGAAATGCTGACAATCATGAGGCATAATGATCAAAGCATTTGCCATGTGAAAAAATCTTTCAGGATAATAAATGTCTTTGTTTTTAAAACAGTATATTTTGATCCATAACGCAGCAACCCATAGACTTTCTCACATCCTCTTTTTGTTTTTAGTTAGATCCATTTATATAGGAGACGCTCTCAGGGTCCCGTTCATGTTCCCTCAGCCCTTTCTGGAGGTCATTTGCTGTGTCATTTTCAGCAAAGTGAGCAAGCTTTGCCCATGTGCAGGGCAAGGAGAGTTGATGCTGTAGGAAAAATTCTCAGCCAATGACGGGTAGGAGATAATTAAATATGCCAGTGCCCCCCTCCAGAAAGACAATTCTCAAGTGTCTCTTGGAAGGTCACCAATGGGATTGAGTCCCAGTTGCCTATTGTAGTATCCCACTCATTAAAACACACTTTCTTGATTTTGGTCTCTTCTTTGTCTCATTTCTTCACTCTGCCATGTTAATCTTCCTGACATCATCTCCCAAATAAAGTATTTGTGTCTAAGTCTTTATTCAAGCTCTTCTTTTGGCAGCACCTACACTAAGATAATATATTCATTTGACTTGGAAACACAACTCAATATGCACACATTTCAAGGATCAAATGGACTGATTTTACTGCACAATGTGGATTTGGACTGTGTCATGTCACTTTCACAAAATTTCTCCTGCTTGGACATTTTGTATCTGCTTCAGACAAAATTGATCTTTTCTCTGCCTGGAATTTCATTACCATTTTTTTTGATGACACTGTACTGTCCATTTGATCAGTTTGACCAAGCAGTCTGGACTCATTGAGTTGTTAACTTCATGGTATGATTTACTTTTCCATTGACTGCTATTAAATATATTCTTCCCCAGGGATAAAGGGAACATGACTGTAACTCAGTCTGACTCCATCTGTCTAATCTAGTTTCAAACTCAATCTCATTCTAATTCAAAAATAACACATCTCTCCTTTGCTTTGTTAAACTTCTACTAGAGGAAGAGGTAGCAACTGGGAGGTATTGGCAGAATACATGGTGTGCTCTTGCATTCCCCCTTTCTTTCTCTTAAATACCTTCTTCAAATCATGGGGTCTCACACTAACACATAGCCCTATTCTATGTGGACCAATGGGAAGGGAGGTTCCAGTAAACTAGCTGGCTGTAGTCAGCTGCCTTGGAGATGCTATTAAAGGAAGGGGAGAGGACTGAGTCTCATTCTGGTTCTGATGAAAGCTACAGCTTCTGCTGTTTGGAGTGGTCTTTGTGTAGATGACATGTGGTTTTCAGAGTAGGATCAGCTCCACCTTGACCCTGTCTCCCTGAAGAAAAGCAGCCATATCTCCCTTCAGTTGCTCCCATGGTGCAAGCCTCCAATGCACTCTGCTGGTTGAGCATCCTGTTACTTAGTTAAGTGGTTTGATACATTCCCTACTGTCCTCTCCATGTTCCATCAAACATGGTCAAGGAAACTTCATGTCTTCTTTCACGCTCAGTAAAGGCAGAGGAGACCGGTCTAGGGGAGGTTGCCTCCACGTTTGTCTGCCCCGACACACGATATATACAATGCCTTTTTTTCATCCTGCTAGCTCAGGCTACTTCCTGAGGGTTTTCACCTTCCAATATTTCTGGATGGGAAATAGGCTGTTTATATACAAGTTTCCCCATCCCCCAGCTTCATGAGATCAATGTTAATGTCCCCCTTGTCACCCAAAGTGGAAGAGAAAGCCCAACATTCTCTTCTAGGCTCCCAGAGGGCTCTCACTACACCCTCTTGAATCCAGGTCGTTTTTTCATCTTTTGTTAATAAGAGCTCTCAGATCAGTTTAGCATCTTTGGAACAGGGAAGTGGAATGAGAGTCCTTAGCCCTGAACCTGGCTTTCCTTGAACTTGGCCTTCCAGAATTTAATAATTTTTTTTTCAGTAGTGGTATCTATATCATGATCTCTGGGGATGGGAATATTTGTCTTTAGGTCATGTCATCACGATGTTACATACAACTTTGTACCAACTCATTTGCACTTTCCAGCATCACAAATAAATCATTCTTGGTTACTCAAGAAAATAAATTTGGGAAATGACTGCTTCTGATAACACAATGGGAAAAGGCAAACATTTATTTTTATTTGCAAATGCAGTTTCTGCCAATAGTTAGTGCTCACAAAACCTTTTAAGCTACAGTAACTTTTGGTAAACTTAATGAATACTTTAAAAAATATCTGATGGTAAGAAAATTACAGAAAAATTTCCATTACACTGTCAAAAATGTTTGGAATCCAAAATCCACTATTTTCTGCAATAGTTTTTAATGTTTGTTCTGGTTTAAAAAGATTTTCTTTTTTTTTTCTTTCTACTTCTACATAGTCCTGGTTAAATTAATACAATCTGTCTCATGAACACTTAGGACTGCCATTTTCTGGATTTAGATTGTTTTTATTCTTACATATTTATATTAATACTTTAATATTTTACATAAAACATTGATTTGCTGTGTTTTATGAAACAAAATCATAGATCCTATTTATGGAGGCATTTCCAGTTTGAAGGAAAACTGAAAATCTAATCAGTAGAAGGTCATTTTATGCCTTTGTTCCTTTTTAGCAGTAATAAATAATTAGCAACCTATTAGTTACAAAAATTCTTAATTATGCTTAGAGCAGCCAGAGTGCTATCACAAATTTCAATTCATATTTGTTACAGTATGTGAAATAGTTAAGAAAAGCCTCTGTTTTTCCAGGTTGGTAACAAATGGCTTTTTTCTGATGCATAATTAATAGAAACTAATGATGACTATGTAGCTCTTCCAGAGTTTTAAAGGCAAATCTATATTGGCCTACAGTTAACATGCAAATTCATCCAACAAGCAACACAAAATGTATTGTAGTAGTCATTCATTTTTATCAACATTCAAGAAGATCTAGACAGCAGCACGACTCTCCTATGTCGGGAACACATTATAACATGGGCACAACTGAAGTCAGATCACACCTGGTAAAATACCCTCTTGCTAATTCATCCTCTAGAGTCAGTTCAGACTTCCAGCACAATACATGAACAATAGCGATTAATATTGTGGTACAAAGGTAAATACAGACAAGAGTTTGGTGTGCTAGCATACAGAGTTTTAAAAACGGTGACAAACAAAACCAAACGTCTTGCCCTGTTCTCTCCTCTCCCTTTGTGAGCCTGGAATTCTCATGGTCTCACTGAAACATTCTATCTGGGGAACTGAGTCCAATGATCCTAGCACTGAAATTGCTCCCTGGGAGGGAAATTTGGCCACAGGGGAACATTGTACCCATTTGAGAAAGGGCACTGAGGGAAACAGTGGTGTGCAAAAAATGGTTTGCTACTAGAGGCCTTGATGGAAAACGTGATTTTTAAAAATATTTAGCTTTATTCCCAAGGAGTGGTATACTGTGGCTCAAATTTTATTTCATTATTTTTGGTTGGATTAATGAAATGTGCACACTATCACCATCACTCTTAATTCTTCTTCCACCAAATAAGACACTTGTTAGGATAAGAAAGATATTTTACTAAAGCTGACGGTGATTGAGAGTCATTCAGTATTCAAAGTTCCTAAAGAATCATTGGTTCTCTTAAAGGGATAAAAAAGTAGGAAAGGCTTTGTTCAAACTCCTGCTAGTAAACAAGTATTACTTCAACTGATACAATGGCTACATGACATCAAAGTACTATAAATTATCAAAACTATCGTACAGAAAAATTACAAATTCGTTGCAAAATACATTATACTGCTACCATTAAGAAAAAAGTGCTTTTTGTTTTCCTTTCTTTCTTTTTTTTTTTTTTTTGCCAGAAAAGTATTCTTTCAATATAGAAAATCCTACGTGTTACCCTGCATGTGGCTAGGATATATCGTAACGGAGTTTGTATGGAGTCCTTCTGATTTGCTGGACGAAGGGCTGAAAAATATAATAAAGACTTATTAATGCCGTGCTCCAAAAGACCACGCCAGCTCTCAGTGGAGAGATGCCTATTTAAGACACAAGAAGATGCCCTGGTCTGTCAAACCCTGCCGGTCATCACACTGTCCCACCAATTGGCTGGTCTAGAATGCACAGGCCTTTTGCATGTTCTATGTTTCCTTTTGTTCTCCTGAATTATTCTCATGTCCTCATCTAGCTTTGCCACCTACATGAATCTTCTGCTCAGTGATGTCTGTATTGTCTCATGAGGGGGACGATGCAAGATGGTGGACCTGCTAGTTTTAAAAATGGATGTCCAAGGAGTTCCTGTGCTGTTGCTCTCTGAGAGGGCTCCCTCACCAACATCAGGTCTAGAAATCCCCGGAGCACTGAAGAAACCTGTGAAAACACACAGACACCAATCTGAGGACTAACACAGACACCTAAACCATTCCCCAGAATGTTTTCCCCCTTCAATCTATCAACAACTTCAAACTCCAGAAAGATGTTAGGAAAGCAAAGGCAGGTCTTGCCTTTGTTAACATTCCATGTTTTCCTCACCTTTTTCAAGTTTGAAACAATAGGTGTAAATGACAGCTCAACTAAGAATGAAAACTTATTTACTAAATAAAATAACAGTGGCAATCACAGCGATAAGAGCAGCTATTACAAAGGTTTTACTATACGCTTGATGAAGCATAATAAGTATGGAAAGGGAACCGTTTTATTTTTCTAGCAACTGCAGCCACACAGGCTCTGTGGAACCCCTTTCTTGAAGAGAAACAAACTTCTATAAGGATATCTGACACATTTCAATTTTTTTTTCTTTGAAGTTCTGGTAATTTACTTTTCCAAGGTATATCTTACATGATGTATATATTTAGAGATTAGTCTCACTATGTTGCCCAGGTTCAAACTCCTTTGCTCAAGTGATCCTCCCATCTCAGCCTCCTGAGTAGCTGGGAGTACAAGCACGTGCCACCATGCCCAGCTTCCACTGCACAAATACTAAGCGTATGGTGCAATAGATTTTTACATACATTTACCCCTATTTACTTTCCACTCCTATCAAGGTATAGAACTTTTCTACCATTCTAGGAAGCTGCTTTTAGGTCCTCCTCCTGCCAACCCCCATCCCCCAGCAAAAGGTCACCACTATCTTAATTTCTAATAGCATAAATTAGTTTTGCTTACTTTTGTAATTTATCGAAATCGAGTCATATATTGTGATTTCGTCTCCATCTGGTTTCTTTCACTCAACGCTGTATCTGTGAGATTCATCCCCGATGTGTGGCAAAAGTTATATCTTTTAAATTACTATGTAATGTTCATTGTCCAATTATACCACACATCGTTTATCCATTTGGAAAACAACCGTGGGCTGGTTTCCAGTTTTTTAAAACCATTAGGATTAAAGTTGCTCTTGTAAATGGTTTTGAAGAACACTGGCACTTAGTGGATGTGAGACTATTTTCATATAGTACATTTTTAGTCACTTTTCATTACTTAAACTTAGTCCAATCCAATATAATTTCAATCTCTTTTTTTTTGTTTGTTTTTGTTCTTGCAGATCTACACAACCTATCTGAGTAATTCTACTAGGGCTCTTCACTAAGATTTAGGGGTAAGGAAGGAAGAGACATTACCATCACAAAGAGTCTCACACTCTTTTTTATTGTCATGAAATAGATGAGAGGAGAGGTGTGTACAGGGACAGTGTTAATAGTAGTGGCCCTACAGAAATGGTCTTCTGAGCAAGACCTGTGGAAATCTGGCAGCTTCCACAGTGGTGATTTTTGGATGGAGCATTATTTTCTGAGCTTGTCCTAACTGGCAATCCTTAGAAAGCAGAAAGACCCCACTTGGTCTCAGATGCATTATATTAACCATGACCTTCATTGCTCTGTACAATCTAGCCCCTGCCCATCTCTCTGACAAGGCCTACCTTTTTCCCCTGGCTCACCTTACTCCAGCCATATAAGCCTTCTTTCTTGGCTTAAGACCTTTCCACTTAATGCTCCCTCTGCCTGGGACATTTTTCTCCAAGGTCTTTGCATGGCTTGTATCTTCTTCCTAGTCAGGTCCCAGCTCAGTTGATCCTCCCTAGAAAAGGCTTCCTTCACTCTTCAGCCTAAACCAGTCATATGGTTTGGATCTGTGTCCCCACCTCATCTCAAATTGTAATCCCCACATGTCAAGGGAGCGACCTGGTAGAAGGTAATTGAGTCATGGGGATAGTTTCTATCATGCTGTTCTCAAGATAGTGAGGGGGTTCTCATGAGAGCTGATAGTTGTATAAGTATATGGCATTTCCCCTGTGCTCTCTCTCACCTGCCACGATGTAAGACTTGACTTGCTTCCCCTTTGTCTTCTGCCATGATTGTTAAGTGTGATTCTAAGGCCTCCCCAGTCTTGTGGAATTGTGAGTCAATTAAATCTCTCTTATTTGTAAATTATCCAGTCTTGGGTATTTCTTCATAGCAGTGTAAAAACAGACTCATGTAACCAGCTTTCAATCCCCTCTCCTGTGCACTCCATCACATCACAGTACAGTTTTTTTCATAGTACGCATCATGTTTTATTCATTTGTTTATGGTTTATCATCTGTTTCCCCAACAAAATGCAAGCTCTACAAGAGTCAGAAAATCTGGAGTCATGCACGGTGGTATCTCCAGCTATTAGACATCCCCAGCATGTAACAGATGCTCAGTGAATGGGTATGGCATAGAGCACCTGATTGACTCTGCTAACCAACCCTTTGAGATAGAAGCCAATCGTAACCCATTTTATAGATGAAGAACTTTGGTGTAAACAAGGGTGAGCTACTTGCCCCGTAAAAGAATGGAAGAAAAGAGTTTCAAGCGTAAATGACTATTTCCAAAGTCCATGCCCATAAACCAGGATCTCCCTGCTAGATGTGATAAGCCAGTCTTAAAAATCCAAAAACTGTTCTGAACTTCAGCAACAGCTGCTGCTTCTCACCTTGTGTAGGTCCTTCACTCTTGGAGGTAAACTGTCCCTGATCCTCCGCATCGCCTGGAGAGGGGGCTCATTGAAGTAAGGGGGCTCGCCATCGATCATTTCAATCACCATGATCCCGAGGGACCAGATGTCCACCTGTTAGGCACACCTCACTGGTTAGATCAGGCAAGGAGAACATTTTAAAATGTCAAGTGTGTCCACAGAACCCAAGAGATTAATACTCATTCATAAATGAATATGGTATTCGTAACCTGTCAACATTTACAATATAGATTCATAGGCTAAACTGCTGGGTTACTGAGTTTTTGCTAACAATCTTTGCTTTTCATGGACAAATTCAGTAACGGTTCCACCCATCAGAAATAAATGAATATCTGAACATTCTAAAGTTTAGTAGCTTAATTTTTACTCTGTTAACTTTAGTAGTAAACTGTCTATCAGGGCATATGAGAAAATCATCCAGTTTAATGTTATAAAAATAGAGAATAAAACTGTATTTAAACTATAAGCAAATAAGAAAGTTTTGACATATTTGTAACAAACTGCAAAGAGCTACCTTGCAGGATGCAGAATATATTCTAATTTCTTTATTAATTTGCTTTTAAAAATAATTATTTTCTCCCATACTTTGGGATTTCCTCCCCCTACATTTTATTATCATTTCAAAACAGCCTGCACAAAACCTTGCTTTACAAAAGCATTTTCAGGGATTGGAGAAAAGAAAAGGAGGACATGACAAGCAATTCTTTCTGAGTAAAGAACAGGAAGTCAGGACAATGAGGAGCCATCACTGTGCCATAAATTCCCAGTCCCACTCACTTCCCCTTTACAGCCTCATTATAGCTCTTATCTGTTCAATGTATTGCTATTATTATCCCTTGGAGTGAGATATTTATCTCTGAGAATAATCTCTCAGGTCTATAGTGAGAAAAACAAGTTGAGAACTCATCCAAGGTCAAACAAACAAGAGAAAGAGACAGATTCTGCCTTAACTTATGCCAATGTCATTAGCTCACTGCCATGTCTTCTCATGCTTCTCTTCTCCCAGAATCACCATCTGCCCAATCATGTGTGGAAACACCATGCCTAGCCAAAACATACCCCTTGGCTTCCACCTGCATGTAGCCTTATGTGCCTCTGAGTTTCCACTCATGCTATTACTTCCTAAGAAGGCCCTTCCTCTACTCCTTCTGGCCCTGTATTTTCACATTTCCAAGCCCTACCCCTTAAAAGATTACGAGTGATTGTTTTCATTCCAGTGGAAACAGAAATTGTGCCGTGTTTTTGACTATGATATCATATTCACATATAATTTTTTTTTCCTTTGAGAAAACACTGTGCAGGTCCTTCATTGTAAACTGTGTTGAAAACAGTTGCTCATTTAAATATCACCTCTATTTTGTGGCACTTTCTTTGATCCTCTTTCCTTCTTCTGGATCCTCATGCCTGCTCATCTTCAGCCACTTTGCAAATTGCATTGCCTGGCTTTGGTGTCCCTGCCACTGAGAGTGGGATCAGAGTTGGAGTGACTCTCCCACAATGTTCACTGTAGGACTGTGATAAACAGCTCTTGGATAAATACTGCAATGATCTGCCCAGGGGTGGCCAGGCTCCCTCCTGCCACAGCCTACCTACTCTGTGCCTCATCTAGTGAGTGGGGATCAAAGATGGAGTCGAAAGCCACTGCTTCCATCTTCTGTGGTCACCAACTATCTCAGAACCAATTTGTCCCTGAGCCTGCCCCAACACCGTCGTGACACTCCTGACTATGACTGTGACCCCCTTACCTCTGTCCCATAAGGTAGCCTAGAAATCACCTCAGGAGCCATCCAGTAGGGAGTGCCAACCAATGATTTCCTCTTTGGCACTTCTTTGGAAACTTGAGCACAGAAACCAAAATCAGATAACTTTATCTGAAAAGGAAAGAAATGCAACAAACTAGCAATTTTAAAACAATGTCTGCTAGACATGAAAATACAAACATGGAGAGTTTCAAACTTATAACAAAACAGTCTCATCAACAAGCCTTGGACATATTGGAGGACCCTTTTATTGGAAAGGCATGGTCCATTTTAATGGCGACACTTCCCCTAGGCCCATCAGGATCAACTTCCAAATGTTAAACTCCTGCTGCTTACATTACTTCTATAAAATGATGAAACAACAACAAAAAATCTTTACACATTAAATACACCCAAAACAAAAATATGGTTACATCCCAAGCCCACAAGATGAATTTAATGTAACAGATGATGCTTTCATATATGTAAATTACTATTCTCAATGTGAATTTTGAACAAACTGATGTAATTTTGGTTCTTTTGAGTTGAGCACATTTAGATTTCTACGTACCATGAGGCAAATCAAAGAACCACCTCTTTTCTATACTTGAAATATTGCAAGACCTTTGTTTATCCAGGATGTGGAAATGTCATTTTTAGTACTGGATCCCCTTCCCTTTTTGGTTTGCTCTTTCATCCATGACAGTTGAAGCTGCCAATGTGAACATCAGCGCAAGTGGAAACAGGCATAGCATCTGGGTGTCAGCACTTGGTTGCCAGGGGTTTAAGGTGGTCATCCTAAGGACTCAGCGTATATACAGGTTTTTAACCTTAGACATCATCAAGGAGAAAAACAAGTTTCTTTTCCCAGAGCTCATGTACTCTTAAAAACACACCACACCGGTAGGCACCCTGCTGGTTTATGAATTCTAGATGACCAGAATTCAGCTTATTTCTGGGAAGCATAATTTCTAGTCATGATGACCTGGTCTGAACTTCAAACAGCCCTGAAAGAGACATCAAAGAGTCTCTTAGAGCTGTTGGTGATAATAGAACACAGAAGAGAACAATAATTCAGAATTACCACTTGAAGTTGAAATTTTTTAAGGATCAATAGTACAGTCTTCAAGGTATGGATTCTCTCTTAACTCTCTTCACACCTCTCTGAACTTCCTCTTTCAATGCTTTTATTCTGGCTCTACCTCTGCTGCCCACCTCTTAAATATTGGAGTTCCCTAGGGTTCTGGTTTTCACTCTCATGTCTTCTCTTCTTACATTCTCTTACTGGATACTCTTTTTCTTTTCATGCTTAATTCAGACCTCTCTCTTCCATTCAAAGCCTGAATTTCCAACTATTGTACATTTCTACATGGATGACCACAAGTACTTCCAAACTCAGCATCCTCTCTCTGCTCCAAAATCTGACCCCTTTTCTACAATCCTATTCTAGTGAATGACACCAACATCCACCAACATCTATCCATAAAAATCATCCTTCACTCTTCTCTCTATCTCACCCCAAGTCTTTCTGGTTAGAGTTTTTAAAAGTCCATCTTTGTAGCTTCAGGACCCACAATAGTGCTTGGCCTACAATAGGTTTTCAAAATCAAGATTATTGTATGAATTAATGAGCCTCAATTGTAAGAAATGAAAGACCTTTGAGAATGAAGAACAAGGCATTAATATATTATAAAGATCAGGATTCAGCAGGGAGGTCTGGCCCAGAGACAAATTCCCCTGTCACACATGTTATTATGGTAATTGCCAAACATATAGAAGAGATTAAAGAATTATACAGTGAACATCCCTATACACACCAAGTAGATTCTATAATTATTAATGTGTTTACTGTGTGGGCTTTATCACATCTATCTCTGTCTCTCTATCCATCCATCTATTCATCTAATTTTTGATGCATTTCAAACTTAATTGCTGACAGCTGTATACCCCACTCCTAATTTAGTGTTAACAGGAGTTCAATGTGTGTATTTTTTTTAACAGTTTATGTAAAATGTACATAGAGTGAAACATACACACCTTAGGTTTATCATGTGATGTGTTTTGACCTCCCAGTCTATCAAGATCTGGGCATTGCCATCACTGGGGCACATCTGAGAGGGTCCTTGGGATATGGGTGGTAGTCAAACCCTTGAAGGGCTATAGCATGAGAAAAGAAGACCATATATGAAATACTGGGCACCTTCATTTCTCCAGAAATTGAAGCATTACTGGAGACTGAAGAGAATGATATTAAGAAATCAGAGAAACAATGGAGAATAAATTGGGAAAGCCAAGGTGGGGATAGCAGCAGCTGGAACCCAACAGGGAGACGAAACCAGTAAGAACTGAGAGCCGCTGTTGTGCTTGGCAGTGAGGGCACCCCCAGTAGCCCGTAGTTTCAGGTTGAGTCAATGGTGGAATCCAGAGAGTAGTCAGGTAGATCTCAGTCAGACTGCTTTTCAAGAAATGAGATGTACTTTAATACAGATAGAAGAAACCCAGCAGTTAGAGATGTGGTGAATATGATAATGATGACAATGATAATTATTACTATTCTCTTTAGCGGGTTGAATGTCTCCTAGAATTCACATCCATCCAAACCGCAGCATGTGATCTTATTTGGAAAAGAGTCTTTGCAGATATAATTAGTGAAGGTGAGGTCATACTGGATTGGGGACAGGCCCTAAGTCCCATGACTAAAAATAGGAGAGGACACAGACACACAGAGAAGACCATGTGAAGACAAAACAGAGACTGGAGGGATGAGTGTACATGAGGAGCCAACCAACACCAAGGATTGCCACAACCACCAGAGACCAGGAGAAAGGTATATAAAGCTTCTCCCTCAGAGCTTCCAGAAGGAATCAACACTGCTAATATCTTGATTTTGGACCTCTGGACTCTTGAACTGTGAGAATACATTTCATGCAGAGAGAAGAAAATGCCACCTAATTGGTAGCAATTTGTTATAGCAGTCCTAGAAAATGAATACACTCGCTGAGCTCTTACTACCTGCCAGGTAACACTATAAATACTTTACATGTATTATCTCATTTGACTGCTCACAAGAAACTAATGAGCTAGGAAATATTATTATCTCCATTTTACAGAGAAGTAAGCCAAAGGATAGAAGTGGTTCGGCCACTTTGCCAAGGATACAGAACTAGTAAGTGGAAGAGCCAAGATTCAGGAATTTAACCACCACTCTGTACTGAAGAACAAAGTTACAGGCTGGAAGAAGGGAGTTATTGGAGTGGTAGATGTTGAAGAAAGAAGAGAGAGTCAGGGTAACTGATGATAGGGATTTTAAAGCATCCCTTCAGGAAGGTGGGATGGGATCCAGGGTCTTGCTACGTAAAGCATCATCTTCATCAACAGCAGCAGCAGCAGCAGTGTTACCTGGGAGCTTCTTAGACTTGCAGAACCTCAGGCCCCACCCTAGACCTACTGCAGTTACAGTTTCCACTTTAAAAAGATCCCCAGGCCACTGGTGTACACATTATAGCTTGAATCATAGGAGACCACAGTTCAGCCAAGAAACAGAAGAGGAAAGAGGTCACATGAACAGGTGAGGATGAAGGGGCATTTATTTACACAGAGTCTCATCTCTTTAGCATCTAACAAAACCCTTAACATTTTCACCATGCCCTGTCTTCCTTCTGCTGACCTAAACACTCTACAGGCCATCTGAATGGCTTTTGAAGTCCTCCATAATCTGGTGCCTTTTCACATAACCAACCTCATTCCTCACGGCTTTCTGCACACACTGAAACCATTCCTAGGGACAAGGGGTGTTCCTGGAATGTAGGATTTCCAGTGCTAAAACCCAGAAAGTTCTGGGCAAATCAGAAAGAGGTCATCTTACGATCTATTCCCAACTCTGAGTTTCTGTTGATGGCTTTTCTTGCATATTCAATTCTTAGGCATACATTAAGGGCTTTATCAAATCTAACATTCTCTAGAATTCTTCTCAGAAGACCATGTTGATCTCTCTCCTTTCCAAATTCAGAAAATTTAGCAAGCACTCAATCCTGAACTGTTTTCTGGTGCTGATTTTCTGCCTCTATCTAGGGATGACATTCCTCGGGGGCAACAGCTCTGCTTTCTGATTTCAGAGCCTTACTGTGTTCCTTAAGAGCTGGGCAAACAGTACAAACTCAGATTAACACATGCGACTAGATTTATTTTATATTGACATACATAGAGTTCATCAGGTGACAGAAGACACATTGAAGCTCTTTCTGAAAACACCAAAAACGTACTGAAGATAGCTATTTCTAGAATCAAAGTTGAAACACAGATGAAATGAAAGTAACGTTTTGGAAATTATTAATGTGATTTTTTTTGTTCATGATATTCTCACTAACTGGCTTAAGGCCAGTGATTTGGATAATAGTGGTATGATTTTAACTGGAAGGGTTAGATTATTCCCAATGAAATGCTAGAGAAAGCTGGTTTAGTAGAGAGGTGATCTTCTCAATTGCTTATCAATAATCAACCCCAGAAGACTCAGATCATAGAATTTCCCATGTAGTATGAAGAAAAGGGCCTTGTAGCCATGATAGCTGGTCCATAATCCTTGGTGCCCTATTGTAAGAGGACACGAAAATGCACAGAAGTAAAAATCTTACAGTCCACCCCTTGTAGTCTGGGATTATTTGCAAAAGGGGAGAAAGAGTAGTGTTGTTGACTATGTCAGGTCCCAACTTCCTTATGATACATCACTTTTCTTTACTCCAAGTAGATGGTTGTGGGCTTCAGAAATATCTGTGTTGCATATATCCCCATTCAAATAAGGGAGAGGAGAAGCTCCACAAGCATGTGTTCAGAGGTAATATTCAAAATATTTAATAACCAGATTAATGTAGGCCAATTGGAACCGAGATAGAAAGTCAAGCAAAGTCCTAGAGTTACCCTTGGAAATGAGGTGAGGAGGGCCTTGGGAAGGGGCTGCAGTGATGAGGGACACCCTCAGGACTTACAGCAGCTTGGAAATGAGGTGGGGAGGGTCTTGGGAAGGGGCTGCAGTGATGAGGGATGCCCTCAGGACTTACAGCAGCTTGGAAATGAGGTGAGGAGGGTCTTGGGAAGGGGCTGCAGTGATGAGGGATGCCCTCAGGACTTACAGCAGC